GTTTTCACGTGTTCAGGTCGCCCAGGCACGGCACAGCCCTCGGCACGGTTCATCAATATCGATACCCTTAGCATTGCAGCCTGGCATGTTGCCTGGCACGTTCCGCGGAGCGTCCCGTGGCGAGTCCCCCTGGCACGTCGCGCGGTGCACGTCCATTGGCACGTTTCGTAGCGCGTCCCCTTGGCACGTCCCGCGGTGCGTCCCCATGGCACGTCCCCTGGCACGTCGCCTGGCGCGTCCCTTGGGACGTTCCGCGACGCGTCCTCCTGGCATGTTCCCTCTGTGTAGTTCTGGGGCAGCTACCATCTGCTCAGGCAGCTCGAGCTTACGATCCAGATCAGTTCAGTGAGGACTCGGATGCCAGGGAGGACTCGATTTACAAGGCTATATGGAGCACAATGACGGCATGGCGCATCGCAGTTCAGCACGGCCCAGCACAGCACAGCCGTCGGCACGGTACATCAAGATCGATACACTCAACTATGCACCTTGGCGCGTTCCGTGGCGAGTCCACCTGGCACGTCGCGCGGCGCGTCCCCTGGCACGTCCCTCGGCACGTCCATTGGCACGTTCCGTAGCGCGTCGCCTTGGCACGTCCCGCGGTGCGTCCTCATGGCACGTCCCCTGGCACGTTGCCTGGCGCGTCCCTTGGGACGTTCCGCGGCGCGTCCTCCTGGCATGTTCCCTCTGTCGATTAGTTCTGGGGCAGCTACCATCTGTTCAGGCAGCTGGAGCCTACGCTCCAGATCAGTTCGGTGAGGACTCGGATGCCAGGGAGGACTCGATCCACAACGCTATATAGAGCACACTCGCGGCATGGCACATCGCAGTTCAGCACGGCGTAGCACAGCACAGCCCTCGGCACAGTACATCATCATCGATACATTCAGTATTGCATGTGTCCGTCGCCCAATCAGGTGTCTTTGAAATGTTGCAATGCCTTACATTTCTATATTCCTTCCCGGGTTCGTGGGTCGATCATGTTTCTCTCTCAGGGGGGATGCCACCACCATGCCAAGGGCAGGAAGGGTTAGGCGTGGTGGTGGTGGTGGTGGCTGTGTAGTTCTAGGCCTCCTAGATGGGGTCGGATGATCGCGCCGCATCGCCGATGCATCGGCGATGCAGCGGCGTTGCATCGGCCATGCGCTAGCGACGCCGGCGATACATCCTCGACGCCGGCGGGGAGAAACTTGGGCCCCTCGTAGTGGTGGTGGTGGTGGTGGTGATGATGATGGTGGTGGTGGTGGTGATGGTGATGATGATGGTGGTGATGATGGTGATGATGAGGATGAGGATGATGATGATAATGATCATGATGGTGGTGGTGGTGGTGTAGTCTCGTGTACCTTTGCGTCGCAGGACCAGAGAACCGTGCTGAGCCTGCATCGATCCAAGCCCAATCGGTGCCAACCTTTTAAGGGGCCAGGATCGGTGCACTCTTGCTTTCCTGCCCCGACCAGGATGGCGTGCACACGCCGATCTTGGGCTCAGGTCGGGTGCGTCCTCGTGCAGGTGGAGTTCGAACGACAAGTGAAACATACACAAAAACATAGTCAAACGTAGTCAACACAGATTCAAAACATCGTCCCCAGACTATGTTTTGTCTATGTTTGAATTTTCCCTCTTGAAAAAAAGGGACAGGCCAGGCTTAGTCCTGGGCCCAGGACGAGCATTACCAGGATTCGTGCCCTCGTGTCGTGGACATTTTTTCGCGGGGCATCTTGGAAACGAGCATCCCGGAAGTCAGCAGGACATGCACTCACTCCCGGACGATGGTGGTTGTGAGTTTCTTCGGGGAGAGCACCGGCGCAAAAACACGGCCGCTCTTGCCGGTCCTCTCACCGCTCGTGTACGGGCCACCGCTTTCTTCCGCCGTCGTCCTTCCCCCTCCTCCTCGTCCTCCTCCTCCTCCTCCTCCTCCTCCTCCTCTCTCCCCGTCCTCCTCCTCCTCCTCCTCCTCCTCCTCCTCTTCCTCCTCCTCTCCCTCCTCTCTCCTCCTCTCTCCCCCTCTCCTCCTCCTCCTCATCCTCCTCCTCCTCCTCCTCCTCCTCCTCCTCCTCCTCCTCCTCCTCCTCCTCTGTTCTCTTGGTGCGCCGGGGAGGGTAAGGCAGAGGGGGCCAGTTTCTTCTTGATGCGGCGGGGCCTCTCAGAATGCCCCGCGCCTGCTGAGAAGCCGCCTGCCGCTCGAGGCGAGGTTTCGGGGACTTCTCAGAAGGCCAGAGGCCCTCGGAGCCTTCCGAGAGAGAGTCCGCCCCGTCTGGCTTCCCCCCACGGGCGCGCCGCCGAGTGGCTCAGGGCGAGAAGAACGTCGTCGGGTGGTACGCTGACATGAAGGCGGTGGACATCAGGGAAGCGGTCATGTGCGCGTGCGACGCCATCGTGGACGGGGGCTTCGTGCTGCGGGAGGCGCCGGCCCGAGCCGCAGAGGCGGAGGAAGGGAGAGAGGGGCGAGGGAGAGGGTCGGAGGCAGAGTCAGGGGGGTGGTGGGCTCGGGGGCAACGTGGGGAGGATGAGGAGCACCAGGGGAAGCGCTCGAGGTTCGAGGTTCGGGGTTGGCGGCCGCTTTCGTCGGCTCTCGGCGGTTTCCCAGCCTCGGGATGCTCTCCAGCAGCTGCGCCTCGCCGAAGGCGTTCCAGGAGTTCCGGATTGTCCCGAACGGAAGCCGGAGAGCCGAGTTATGACCTGAGAATCAGGAGGCAAAGATGTTGGGGCGGCATAGGTCATGGGGGATGCAACGACCCCGAATCGCCCATTGATAGCCGCGTGGGGCCTGATGGCCCACTCAGGCCTGGAAGAGTGTGCGGTTTGCTATCGGGGGCATGTCGCCGATCCATCGGCGGTGTATCGCCGATTCCAGGTTGATGTTCCCCCCTCCTAAGCTGGTCCCCCCCTAAAGTTATCAGTCACCCTCTTTGTCCCAGCCCCTCCCCTGTTGTATTTCGTGAGCGACGAAGAGAACCGCAATCGCCCCCCCGTGGTCGCCCCGACCCTTCAGCGGTGGTGACTTGCGCGCGGCTCCCGACATCGAGTGCCGCGCGCAGGTCATCACCGCTGGGTGGTCGGGGTTGATCTTGGGTGGAGCGTCAGAGGCTGTCACCCCAGCTCAGCGGTCGTGGCTGCTGCCTGTCGGAGGCGCAGCGTCTGAAGATCGAGAGCGGCGGAAGACGGCCAAGCCCGATCTCTTCTCTCTTTGGCGGGCTCAGCGGGGAGACGCGCTGCCTAGAACGTGCGGAGAACTAGGGAATGTAGTGGGGGCGCGCGCAAAGAAACCACATGCTTTTCGTCACGGCATCCTGGGTTTCTTCGCTCCGCGCGCTGCGCGGTGACTTCCCGCAGCCGTTCAAGACGCTGCTGCGTTCAGGGTGCTCCGGGTGTGCACCCCGCGCGCTGGTTTGCGGGGTTGGGCTTCCTGCGACGGTTCCCTGCGGCCGCGCTGCGCCCTGAGCTCCTCCCCCCGCCTCCCCCTCCTCGCCGAAGATCGAGGCTGCGGGTCTCTGGACGCTCTGGGCCAGCCTCGGGGCATCCGGATGCCAACCTTTGGCTTCCGCGGGCCTCCAGGCGGGGACGTCGTCGTCGACGTCGTCGTCGTCGTCGTCGACGTCGACCTCGTCGTCGTCGTCGTCGTCGTCGTCGTCGTCGTCGTCGTCGTCGTCGTCGTAAGGATCTCAGGCGCGTCGGTGCAGAAGTTGGCGCAGGCGTAGATGGTGCTTCAATGTCTCTGACGCAAGAGGATCTGACTGGATTCTTGGCGCCTGCTGGGGGTCGGGGGCCCTTGCTGTGATGCCTCGGGGCCCTGCCACGAAACCGCCAGACCCCTACGTACCAGGACCCAGTCAGATAAAGGAGGAGCGGGAGGAGGAGGAGGGGAGGAGGAGGAGGAGGAGGAGGAGGAGGGGGAGGAGGGGGAGGAGGAGGAGGAGGAGGAGGAGGAGGAGGAGGAGGAGGAGGAGGAGGAGGAGGAGTAGGAGGAGGAGGAGGAGGAGGGAGGAGGGATGAGGGAGGAGGCAGCAGGAAGGGTGGGGGAGAGTCGGAGGCAGGAATGGATCCGCCCAGCGGCCTCGAGGATGATCCTTGGGCTCCTCTTGTCTGTGCTTGATGGTCCCACGGTCAGTCACGGCTGCCTCGGGAATTCTGACCACTGCCACCAGGGGAGTAACCCTCTATCGCAGGGCTGGACCTGAACGCCGTCTTGCTGGACCTCGGCCGTGTTTCTTGTTTCTCGCTCTGGCAGGGAGTTGTAGCTGCAGGAAGACAGGCTGAGCAGAACGAGCAACGGAGCGAAGCCAAGACGAAGAGCAGCGTGCAGGCCCAGCCCTGCTCCATCGCAGCCACAGGAGAGAGCGAGCCCCGGGGAGCCGCTCCTCCTCCGCACCCCCGCGCCCGTGGTCGGGGGCCGGGAGAGGCCGGCTGCCCAGGCTGGGACTCGAAGTCGCTCCATCGAGAGCGCTCGCTGGAGAGCGCCCTCGGGAGGAGAGCGCCCTCGGGGGGCTCGCGCTCGCCGGAGCGGCCGCGGCGCCCGAGGCTCGCCGTTCAGGCCCTCCCCCGCTTCTCGCAGAGATTCCCGACTCATATCCCGGTGCCGATCCCGATGCCTCCCCTCGGCGGGCCGAGCGGGGAGGCGCGCTGCCTAGAAGGTGCGGAGGGCTGGGGGCAGTGGGGGCGCGCAGCCAGAGAGCATCTGCTTTTCGCCAGGTTACCCTGGGCTTCTTCACTCCTCGCGCCGCGCGGTGGCTTTCCGCGGCCGCTGCAGGAGCTGCTGCGTTCGGGGTGCTCCGGGTTTTCCCTCGGGTGCACCTCGCGCATGGGTTCTCAGGGTTCGGGTGTCTTCCGAGGGTTTCTTGCGGCCGCGCCCGCACTGTACGCGTCACACGGTGCTCCCGATGCCGATCCCAGACCCCAGTGTTCCGATCCCGATCCGAGGTATCCCGATCCCGATCTGGGCGCCACAGGGCGTTCCCACGGATCCATCCCGATCCTGATCCAAGGTATCCAAGAGATGAAAGATTCCGGTCCCGATCCCGATCCCATCCTGCCTCCGTCGCATGCGCCACAGGCTGCCCGAGACTCGGGTGGCACCTCCCCGACCCCGCGGGGGAACGAGCGGGGGAGCCCGAGGAAGGGGGGAGAGGGGGCGCGACATCTGCTGCGCGCAGAGCTGCTCCCCTGGTGCGCTCGTCGGCTCCGGGAGCCTCGAGGCTCGAGGCTCGAGGTTTTCGGAGGTTCTCGTGGGGTCCACCCTAGGCGATGCTTAAGAAAACCTAAGTTTTCGTCCAGAGTCTCGATTATTCTTAACTTTTCAATGTAAATCCCAAGATTTTGATAGAAGTTCTGGGTTTTATTCAAGTTCTGAGACTCTGAATTTCTGAACCCATGATTTTTTAAGCATTTCGCAGGGTGTACCAGAGATTTTTCGGGGTTGCCCGCATCGTTACCAGCGGCCGCTGGCGACCCGAGTATGCAATCGGGGAGCCCAGGGCCCGATGGAATTTTGCGGCGCGCAGTCGGTTTCGGCGCCGCGGTCGTGCGCTTGCCTCCGAGGCATGGCCGCCTTCACGCGCGCCTCCGGGCGCTGGGAAAAGCAGCTGCGTGCAGCTGAGTCGTTACCACTCTGTGTCATCGAGAATCGGAGAACTCCTAAGCCCTGATGACACAGTGAAGACGTGGCCTCGCTTAGGTCCCGGTCTTTCGATTCCGGGGTACTAGATCTGGGCGGTTTGCTTCGATTGATGTGCAGAAGATACCCCCTATCCCTAATGTTCTGGTTCCCCTAAGTCAGGTCCCCTGCCAGAGGGTTAGGGGTCCTTTTATTGCTATAGTCGCTTTGCGTTCCTCCTTTCTGTCCACTCAGGCCTTGCACGCGTCCCTCAGCAGCAACGTCGGCTCCTGGTGGTCTGTGTGTGCTGCCTGGCGGCGGAGAGAGGGAGCCGGGGCACGAGCGGGAAGCCGACGACGGCGAGCGCGCAGGCCGGGAGGCCAGGGTCGGCGGAAGCAGGCGGGCGGGCAGGCGAGAGGGGGCATGGACCAGGCGCAGGAGTGACCTTCCGCCAGGGTGGCCTTTGGTGGGTGCGGGCCCCACGGGATCCCCTGATCGCTGAGCGGGAAGCAGTAGCCTGAAGTCGGGCACGTCGCTCTACAGGAGGGATGTTCAAGAGTAGTTAAAAACTAGTCTGGCGAAGTACCGAACCACATGCAGTTGTGAATACCGTCGTTGTTGGTATCGCCTTCGGTGGGTCTCCTTAGGGCCACGAAGCGCGTGAAGAGTGTGCAAGGGTGGAGGTCCCTATAGGGCCACGAAACGTGTGAGGGGTGTGCCACAATGGGGCGGCGCCGCCATGCGGACTGCGCCACTGGGGGCCTTAGGTGGAGCTCCCTATGGGGCCACGAAGCGTGTGAGGTGTTTGCAAAAATGGGACGGCGCCCACTCATGTTGTGCTATCATGTTGATCGGAGGAGGGAGGGGGCAAGGGGTGGGAGGTGACGTGGGGCGCCGTCTCTCCAAAACGAGGACCCAGCACCACAGGATAGTTGGGAAAAATAGTCTGGGGAGGATTTTCCGACGATGTTTGACCATCTCTGACAATTTTTCCCTGTAAGGGCTCCAGCCCCGGTCTCGATTTGCGCAGGGCCGGCGGATTTTTTGCGATAAATAACGATGTCGCGCAGGGCCGGCGGAATTAAATTTTGAGGATGTCGAGGCTCAAGTGACGGGGGTCAATGCAAACGAGGGTCAGCCAGAGCGCCAGACCTTGCAGGATCCTGCAGGGCCAGGGGCGGGTTGACCTGGTTTTGGGTGTAGGCAGGATCATGCATGATCTTGCAGGATCCTGCAGGGTCCTGTAAGGCCCGACTGATCCGGGTTTGCGTTGACTCGGGTCAGAAGATCCCCGAAGATGTCCCCAGCGAAACGCTTGTTTAAATTGCCTTCGATCAAACACAGGGTGAAGTAAGCATTTTTGTGTGTTGCGGATGTCTCGATGGAAGCGCTTGTCTTGCAGAATTTGTTGAGGATGTCTCGAGCGAAACGCTTGTTTTGTGCTATAGATCGTTCCTCTCCTGGAGACTAGAATTCAGAGGATGTCTCAGGTGACATGCTTGTTTTCACGCGCCCAGGTCTTGAGGATGTCTCGAGCGAGACGCTTGGTTTCACGCCTCCAGGTTGCCCAGGCAGATGTCCAGCATCAGGATGTGTTGAGGACGTCTCGAGCGATACGCTTATTTTCACGCGTCCAGGTCGTCCAGGCAGATGTTTAGCATGAAGATTGTTGAGGATGTCTCGAGAGAGAGACTCGTTTTCAGGTGTCCAGGTCGCCCTGGCGGATGTCTAGCATCAGGATGTGTTGAGCGAACCGCTCGGTTTCATGTGTCCAGGTCGCTCAGGCGGATGTCTAAGATGAGGATGTGTTGAGGATGTGTTGAGCGAAACGCTTGGTTTCACATGTTCAGGGCGCTCAGGCAGATGTCTAGCATGAGGAGGTATTGAGACGGTCTCGAGCGAAGCGCTTGGTTTCACGTGCCCAGGTCGCCCATGTGGATGTCTAACATGAAGATGTGTTGAGGATGCCTCGAGCGAGACGCTTGCTTTCATGTGTTCAGGGCGCTCAGGCAGATGTCTAGCACGAGGAGGTGTTGAGAACGTCTCGAGCGAGACGCTTGGTTTCACATGTCCAGGTCGCCCAGGTGGATATCTAACATGAAGATGTGTTGAGGATGCCTCGAGCGAGACGCTTGGTTTCACGTGTCCAGGTCGTCCAGGCGGAAGTCTAGCATGAGGAGGTGATGAGAACGTCTCGAGCGAGACGCTTGGTTTCACGTGCCCAGGTCGCCCAGGCGGATGTCTAGCATGAAGATAGTCGGAGGATGTCCTGAGCGAGACGCTCGTTTTCGCGTGTCCAGGATGCCCACGCGGATGTCTAGCATGCGGATGTGTTGAGGATGTGTTGATCGAACCGCTTGGTTTCACGTGTCCAGTGCGCTCAGGCAGATGTCTAGCACGAGGAGGTGTTGAGCATGTCTCGATCGAGATGCTTGGTTTCACGTGTCCAGGTCGCCCAGGCGGATATCTAACATGAGGATTTGTTGAGAATGTATCGTGCGAAGCGCTTGTCACAGTAAAGTGCGTCGCAGTCCAAACCCGCTCGTCCATGGGGCGTCCCCTGGCGCCCTGGCGCTTGGGCCAGGAACTTCCCGTGGCACGTTCCCTGACGCGTTCCTTGGCCTGTTCCTTGGCGCGTCGCCTGGCACGTTCCCTGGCACGTTCCGTGGCGCGTCCCGCGACGAGCCCCTGGCACGCCGCGCGGCGCGTCCCTTGGCACGTCCCGTGACACGTCCATTGGCACGTTCCGTAGCGCGTCATCTTTGGCACGTCCCGCGGTGAGTCCTCATGGCACGTCCCTTGACACATCCCTTGGAGCGTCCCTTGGGGAAATTTCGCGGCGCGTCCCCCATGACCCCATTGCCAATCTAGCTCTGGGGCAGCTATTATGTGCTCAGACAGCTCGAGCTGAAGATCCAGATCAGTTCGGGCAGGACTCGGATGGAAATGAGGGCTCGATCCACAACGTTATAGAGCACACTCGCGGCATAGCACGTCGCAAGTCAGCACAGTGCAGCACAGCACAGCCCGTGGCACGGGGCATCAGGATCGATACACTCAGCATTGAAACTTGGCACGTTCCATGGCACGTTCCGTGGCGCGTCCCGTGGCGAGTCCCCCTGGCACGTCGCGCGGCGAGTCCCCTGGCACGCCCCATGGCACGTCCATTGGCACGTTCCGTGGCGCGTCCCCTTGGCACGTCCCGCGGTGCGTCCCCATGGCACGTTCCTTGGCACGTCCCCTGGCGCGTCCCTCTGGACATTCTGCGGCGCGTCCCCCTGGCATGTCCCCCTGTCAATTGGCTCTGGGGCAGCTACTATGTGCTCAGGCAACTCGTGCTTAAGATCCAGATCAGTTCGGTCAGGATTCGCATGCAGTGGAGGACTTGGTTCACAACGCTATAGAGCACAATCGCGACATGGCACATTCCAATTCAGCACGGTGTAGCACAGCACAGCCCTTGGCACGGCATATCCAGGTCGATATTTTCAGCATTGCAACTTCCCGTCGCCCAAGCAGATGTTTTGAAACTGTTGCCATTATTTGCATGTCTATATTCCTTTCAGGGTTCGTGGGTCGATCACGTTGATTTTTATGTATCTTTATTTCAAATTCCGCCTGCAGGGGGACATGCCCGACCTAACAGTAGCAGCGGCTTGCGCGCCTGGATTTGGCCACCCCGCGACCCCGCTTCAGCCGCGCACCGAAGGTTACCCTTGCCCAGGGTCACTCCCGCGTGGAGCCGACAGTGGGAGATGCTGTCGGAACGATGTATCAGATCGAGGTCGGTTCGGGGAGGGTACCCTCGTGTTCTTCGTGCTTGTTGGATGTCCTTGTGCACCCTGGGAAGGGTACCCCTGGGATGCTCCGTGCGTCTTGGCTGGCGGAGTCCTAGGCCCGGCGGTAGCAAGCGGGGATCAGCGGAGGAGACGGGGAGGGCAAGCAGGGGGCGAGGACGATGAGGAGGAGGAGGAGGAGGAGGAGGAGGAGGAGGAGGAGGAGGAGGAGGAGGAGGAGGAGAGGAGGAGGAGGAGGAGGAGGAGGAGGGGAGGAGGAGGAGGAGGAGGAGGAGGAGGAGGAGGAGGAGGAGGAGGAGGAGGAGGAGGAGGAGGAGGAGGAGGAGTAGGAGGAGGTGGCGAGGAGGAGGAGGAGGAGGAGGAGGAGGAGGAGGAGGAGGAGGAGTCGAAACAACCCCGCGGGAAGAGTTCTCGACGTGGGCATTCTTCGCGAGAGGCGAGAGCGGAGCGCGCGAGGGCTTTGGGCCCCTCTCCGAGGCCCCAGGCAGAGGGAGAGGCCCCTCCTCGCCTCCGCGGCTGCACTCTGCCAGCTCGGTCGTCGCGCCACGGAGCCCGCGCGCGCGGGGGTCGCGAGGTGGAGCTCTGCGAGGACGGCGAGGCCTCCGCCGAGCCCAAGGAGGGCGGGAGGGAGTTCCGCTTCGAGGACTTCCACCAGCTGGAGAGCGGTTCCCCGGGGGTGCCGAACTCTCCAGCAGAGGGGGGGGGGGATGATAGGCTCTAGGCCTCCTAGATGTGGTCGGAGTAGGTGGGGTCGGAGGATCGCGCTGCATCGCCGATGCATCGGCGATGCGGCTCGATGTGGGGCTTGATCTGCTCCACGTCGACGTCGCCGATGCATCGCCGACATCGACGATGCATCGCTGGTGCATCGCCGATGCATCGCCGATGTATCGGCGATGCGGCGCGATCCTCCGACCCGACCCCGTCCAGGAGGCCTCTGTAGCCTCAGGCGGGACCCCCGATCGTGGGAGGGAGGAGGCGGAGGGAGGGAGAGCGGGATGGGGGAGAGGGTCAGGGTCGCGGGGGGCGTCTGGGGCGGGGAAGGGGGCCCATGGGGGGGGAGGCTCAGGGGCGACGTCAGAGGACGCTTCGGAGGATCGGCGGCAGCCTTTTCGGCTCGAGCCTCTCTCGGGCGTGTCCTCGTGGGCTTCCGGCGGTACTCTTGGGGCTCGGGCTGCTCTCCAGCGGCCGCGCCTCGCCGCGGGCTTTTTCCCGGGGGTGCCCGGGTCGTCCCGGGCGGCCGCCAGAGGGCCGAGTCGCGACCCGGAAGCCAGGGCTGCAACGACAGGGGGGGCAGGCTCAGAGAGGGGATGCCTCGACCCCCAATGGCGAACGAGTCGTCGATGGGGGCCTGATGGCCCACCTCGCCCAGGAGTCTGCGGGTTGGCCATCGGGGGCCTGTCGCCGACCTATCGGCGATGCATCGCCGATTCAAGCTCGACGCTTTGCACCCCCTGAGCGGGTCCCCTCGGCGTCACCCACATACGAATGCGATGTGTGCGTCGCCCCCCACCCAGCGGCGACGCGCGCACCGAGAGATCTTATAGTATATGCGTCGTGGCGGGCGCTTTCTGGCCACACCGTTCGGGAAACGGTATACTACAAGATGGGCATACTGTATGTTCGGGTCGGGGACGTATAGTATTAGTATGTCTCTGTGCATCCCATCCCTCCCCGTCGTCCCATGGCTCCGACAACGCCCACAGGTCTCACAGGCCCCGCAGGTCTCGCATGTCATCGTTGGTCCTGCAGGCCCAACAATTCCCACACGACCCACAGGTCCCACTGTGCCAAAAGATTTCGCCACCCTCTCCTCCTCCCCCTCCTCCTCCTCCTCCTCTTCCTCCTCCTCCTTCTCCTCCCCCCCCCCTCCTCCTCCTCCTCCTCCTCCTCCTCTCCTCCTCCTCCTCCTCCTCCTCCTCTCCTCCTTCCTCCTCCTCCTCCTCCTCCTCCTCCTCCCTCCTCCTCCTCCCTCCTCCTCTCCTCCCTCCTCCCCTCCTCCTCCTCTCCTCCTCCTCCCCCCTCCTCTCCTCCCTCCTCCTCCTCCTCCTCCTCCTTCCTCCTCCTCCTCGTCATCGTCCTCGCTCTCCTCCTGCTCCTCTTCCTCCTCGCCCTCCTGATCCCCTTCCTGCTCTTCCTCCTCTTCCTCCTCCTCCTCCTCCTCTCCTAAGGCCTGCGCCGTTTTCCCTGTTTTGACACATCGGGTCTAGGTTCTGAGAACATTGGTTTTGTTCTAAGAACATTTTTGGGTTCTCAGAAGATACCGTGGTAGGCCTATGGGATTACTGGGACGGTCGGTCCTTGCTCAATCCACTGAGGGAAGATGATCCCGATCTCGGTGATGGTGGTAATATTCGGGCCTTGTGGGTGACCGAAAGATGGCCACCAACACCAGAAGCTAGGACCATCTTGCCCCGGTGGGGGCAACCCCTTGTTGTGGTGCTGGTGCTCATTTCCAAGCCTCCGACACGACTGGCCCACGAAGTCGCTCCGCGAAATCGCTCCGCCATCGCGCAGCGAAAGCAGCGCTTCGCGCAGGTTCGCCGCCAGTCGCTGCTTGGAGCGGCTAAGCACTGCACGCGTCTTCACCAGGGCGTATACCTCGGGCGGGGCTACAGGACATGGGTGAATCGTTCCGGAGCGTCTCAGAACGCGCCCAGAATGCTGTGAGAAGCCCGCGGCGTCCGATGTTTTCTCGAGAGCCGCCGGATCTCGGAGGCCCCCGACTCGGCCCGGTCCGACCTTGGTCCCCGTCTGGGCCTCGTCATACAGAGGAAGAGCATCTGCCGCCTGTCCCTCGCCTCGGGGAAGAAGAAGAAGAAGACAAGAAAAAGAAGAAGAAGAAGAAGAAGAAGAAGAAGAAGAAGAAGAAGAAGAATAATAATAAGAAGAATAATAAGAAGGGCACAGGCATAAGCTTTCGGAGCTCCGCGCCGATTTCTTGGATCTGCGCTGGGACCCTGTGGCTGCGCCTCCCGCGCCGCCCCTGGCGCGCTCCAGCGCGGATCCAAGAATTCCGCGCGGAGCGCCAACAGTTGATGTTTATGCCAGTTCTCCTCTTCTACAAACGACGCCGACACGAACTTCGGAGCTCCGAACATTTTGATAGCAAATCGTGGGAGCCTTGCTTGTCGATGCATTTCCGTCTCTAGAGTGCATTAGGGTCGATTGGTGTCTTGTAATCGATGCATGAGCGTCGACTGGCGTCGTGTACGTTTACGCCGTTTTTGTTGTTCTGTCTCCGCCGCGGCTGGATTGGCCTCGAGGTCCTGGCCAGAGTCCGCCCCAGGAGAGGTCCAGGGAGCCGAGCGGCATCGGTGCCTTCTTGGGCCCCGAGTATGGGTCAGGGGCAGGGATAAGGGGGATAGGCGCAGGGGGTTACGCATCGCATCGACCCCCCATCGCCTCTGATCGCCGATAGGGGCCCGATAGCCCCAATCTGCCCAGCAACGTGCGGTCTCACCGTCGGGGGCCTATCGCAGATCTATCGGCGATGTATCGCCGATTCCAGGTCGATGTTTCCCCCCTCCTCCCCCCCTGCCAGTCCCCCCCTACCGTTGCCCCTCATATGGGGACCTGGCGCCGGCTCCAGAAGTCCGCGCGGATGGTTGAAAGTTGGTTGAACGGTCAGTTCAGTTTTCTCTTGGTGCTCTGCGAGCGGGTTTGGCTTTATGTTGGATTTCGCGCCAGGGTGCAGGAGGAGGAGGAGGAGGAGGAGGAGGAGGGGGAGGAGGAGGAGGAGGAGGAGGGGGAGGAGGAGGAGGGGGAGGAGGATTTCGGGGTTGAGTTTCTCGTTGGACTCAGCTTTTGGAGCCGCCGTGGGTGCTCTCGTCGCCGCGGCTGGATTCCCGTCGAGCTCCTGGCCAGGATGCGCCGCAGGAGAGGTCCGAGGGCCGATTTTGGGGCACGGGTGTTTCCTAGGCCCAAAAGGGCGAATCATCGAACGTCATCTGGATATCAATGGTGGTTTGGCGTCTGCGGGTCTGCCTTCGAGGGCCTCCTGTACAGCCCGTCTTGGGCTGTACCAAGGGCCCCTCGCGCCGTCTTGGTGCCATCGGGACTGCCTTCCAGGCCTCTTGGACCAGCTCTGATGCATCGTGAGGCGATCTTGGATCCTCCTAGTTCTCTTGGAGCTTGCCCCACCCCCCCCTAACGTGGACTAGCCGCCTACCGTCACCCAGACCTCGGCGACACCGAGCTTGGACCGCGCGGAATGGGCATGACACCTGCACCCTGGCGACACGCTTGTCTCGGGATGATCCTCCGACCTGTGCGTGGGCCACATCTCTGATTGAAAATGCTGCTGTCGCCTAGGCGCAGGCAACATCCTTCATTGAGCATGTAGTTCTCGCCTTGGCGCCGGCCACATCTCTGAGGCAACTGTTGCTTTCGCCAAGGCCCCTGCGACATCCTTCATTGAGCATGTCGTTCTCGCCTTTGCGCTGGCCACAACTGATTGACAATGTTGCTGTCGCCTAGGTGCTGGCGACATCCTTCATTGAGCACGTCGATCTCGCTTTGGCGCAGACCAGATCTCTGATTGAAAATGTTGCTGCTGCCTCGGCGTCGGCGACGTCCTTCATTGAGCATGTCGGTTTCGCTGTGGCGCTGGCCACATGTTTGATGAAGCATATTGTCGCCTAGGCACCAGCCGCATCTTTCATTGAGTATGTCGTTATCGCTATGGCGCTGGCCACATGTCTGATGAAACGTGTTGCTATCGCCTAGGCGCCAGCCACATCTTTCATTGAGCATGTCGTTTTTCGCTGTTGCGCTGGCCGCATCTGATTGAAAACAGCGCTTTCGCCTCAGCGCTGGCCGCCCGCACGATTGCGATTATTGTTCTCGCCTCAACGCGGGCCGCACTCTCGACTCGAACTGCTGCGTTCACCCAGGGCGTAGGCGCCGGCTGCGGGCACGATTGCGATTGTTGTTCTCGCCTCAGCGCGGGCTGCGTCCTCGATTCGGAATGCTGCTCTCGCCATGCACCAGCCGAAACCGTAATTGCAAATGTTGTTGTCACCTCTGCCGCTTCGGCGCCGGCCGCACCCTTGATTGCGAACGCCGTTCTCGCCTTGATTCTAGATTGTACCATTCCTTGGGCGCCCGCCACATCTTGATTTGCGAACGTCGTTCTCGCCGGAGGGGAAGACGGACCCTCACAAGCTTGTGGGCTGCGTGAGCTTCTGGATCGTGGCCCGATCCGCGGCCAGTTTGGCGCCATGGTGCCGCTTGGGCTTCTTCGCGTTGTGCTGCTGGTTATCGTAATGCTGGTCACACTGGTGCTGCTGGAGCCGCTAGTAGATCGTGCTGCTGATTTCCGTTGTGCTGGTCACAGTGGTGCTGCTTCCAGGGATGCTCCTCACACTGGTACTCCTCGTCGAGCGTGTGCCGGTGCGCGTAGTGCTGTTGTTCCCCGTCGGGCTGGTCGCAGTGGTGCTGTTGGTGGCGCTGGTAGTGCTACTCGTTGTGCTTTGGCTTCCCTTTTGCGCTGGTCACGCTGGTGCTGCTGGAGGCGCTGGTGCTGCTGCTTCGCGTAAGGTTGCTGCCTCTGGTGATGCTCGTCGCACTGGTACTGCTCGTTGGGCTTGTGCTGGTGCGCGTAGTTTTGCTGTTTCCCGTCCTGCTGGTCACAGTTGTGCTGCTGGTGGCTTTAGTAGTGCTG